AATTCCCTTCCCTTTGCAAATGGGCAAAACCACCCATTTGCCCCCTCCCATCTCTTCCTTTCTGGCTTCCACTGTTTGGTCTCTGTATCTATCAGTCTCTTTGCATTTATTGTTTTTTTTATGTGCTGGATCAGCCAAGATATACCCAGTTCTTGCAGTTAACAGGTACACCCCAGATGCCCGTTGCTCCCAAGGCAAGGCAGAGTGCCTACCGTGTGTTTTCTGAAGTTAGCTTGCTTGTCATGCTCCCTGAGGCTTCATCTCTGTGCTCCTGTGAACCACCAAAGCAGGAGGAAATCAGCGTGGCAGACAGCATGCCCCTGTCCTTGCCACAGCGTGTCACGTGACTGCTTGATCCAGGGCTGGGAGATGCTCACCAATACTCCAGGAGGATCAGAGTATTTGGTGAAAGCACTAACGACTGTGGCATGTACCAGTTAAGGACAAGCTTGGAAAGCAGAGAAAGGTAGCAGGAAAACAGTAACGTGTGCACTGTCACATATTCAGTATTAATACTGTTTTGCATAGATGTATCAAAGTTTAGTGATATTTATTGCTGGGCATGCCAGCTTTCTGCTATAAATAATATAGTGAACATCCATACTGGAGTGGGTAGCCATTCCTTTTGCCAGGGGAATCTTCTCAACCCAGGGATTGAACCTGGGTCTCCTGCATTGCAGGTGGATTCTTTACCGTCTGAGCCACCAGGGAAATCCATGTTGAACACAACTCTGATGGTTTTTTCTAAGGCTGGTCTAAAAGTCAGATGACTGCGTCAGAAGATGTGAATGTGCTGTAAGACTCTTACACCTGCTGCCAAATTGCTTTCTGGAGTTTCCACTTGAAAATATTTCCAGATACTCTTTGTGGCTTCTGTCCTCCCTTCACTCACATCATGTTTTGTGTATCTCTTCTGCCCTGAATTCCTGCTCCAAGGCCTGCAACTAACACTTTCTCTATCTAGAACTGTGTGTCCAAGGCCTGTTCCACTCTCCTCCCTGTTCCCTTGTCCTTGCTCTCCTCCCATCCTGGGGGCTGTTTACTACAGAGCAGAACCATCCACAGCAGGAGACTGACTGGCGGGAGGGCCGGATCTGTCTTGGGAGATGTGGGGGCCGAGAGGGAGATGGCTCATGACCTGAGCTCCCTGCCTGTTGAAGGAGGAGGATTCTCACTGCCTGGCTCCCGGGACTCTGGCAACACCCAGAAGAGCAACTGGGTCGGGAGGGGCTGGGGGGCTGGGCCTCAACCTAGTGGAGGTGGGGTGGGAGCAGCTGCTATCAGGACCTCGTCTGCTGAGCCCCTTTCCCCTCACTCTCCAGTTCTCACCTGGGACCCCTGTCCTGCACTAAGGACAGGGCCCAGGTAGGTATTTCTTAGGGTGGTGTTTTCCCGGCACCAAATGCGCCCCTTTGTGATGTCAGCATTGTCCTGCGAGAGCAGCAGCCACACAGATGCCTGTCCCCCCGTCTGACAGTGGTGGGCACTGCTCTCAGTGGTCGGAGGACTTGTCCCTGCTCCTCACAGGTTGTGGCAGTGCCCTGACCCAGCTCGCTGGCCTTGGCCTGCTCCTGGGCAGTGTCCTCCGAATTGTAAGCCGAACAGCTCACTCCAGCTGCTTCTGATAGACCTTACAATTAGGAACATCGCCAGCACCAGTTCAAAGTTGTCTTGCCTTTGGTGGTGGCTTTGCTTTCCGCCAGGGTATCTATACCATATTTTGGGGGGATGCTGTTTTAGATAAGTGATTTCTTTACATTGCAATTCAGGAGACCCAGGTTCGATCCCTGAGCCAGGAAGATCCCCTGGAGAAGGAAATGGCAACCTGCTCCAGTACTCTTGCCTGGAGAATCCAATGAATGAAGGAGCCTGGCAGGCTACAGACCATGGGGTTGCAAAGAGTCAGTCATGACTGAGCTACTTCACTTTCTTTCACTTCTTTCTTTACATTATAGTTGATTGGGTTTGTTCCTTTAACTTGACTTGTAAGCTCCCTGAAGTCAGGAACGTTTTAAAAAAGTTGAGGTGTAGTTTACAGTTCTATGAATTTGGACGGACACACTCATTTTTGTAACTGTCATCACAAATCGACTGTAGAAGTAGCTCCATGCCGCCAAGTTCCCACCTGCTTTCGCAGCTCCTTTTCCACCTCTCTGATTCTGTCTAATCTGTCCCTGTGGTTTTGCCTGTTCCAGAATGTCTTGTCAATTCAGTGGCTGGCAGTCAATTGTCCTTGTGTCTGGCTGTGCTCCTTGGCGTCCTCATGGTGTGGGTGTGTCTGTAGCTCAGCCTTTATGTGGCTGAGGTGGCTCCATTGTGTGGCTCTTCGGGTGTCTTACCTCTTCGGCAGGTGAGGGTCAGTATTTATATTTTCATATATCTTAGTAGACATTTTAAAATTTGTATTTTTAACAGAGGAGGGTTAAGTTGTGCAATTGATAGCCTGCTTTTTTCACTCAGTAATATATCTGAAAAACTGAGAATGGCAACCCACCCTAGTAGTCTTGCCTGGAGAATTTCATGGACAGAGGAGCCTGGCAGGCTACAGTCCATGGGTTGACAAATAGTTGGACACACCTGAGTGACTAACACTTACACACTTTCATATTCTCTGTCTAGAACTTGAGTATTGGATATTTCTGGTTACTCTTTCTACTTTACTGCATTGTTCTGTCATAAATATTTTTAAGCATAATTTTTAAAAAATTGGTAGGTGAATTTCCTTAGAGATTTATAGAGGTCAGATTATTGGGTCAGAGGTAATGAGGGCTGCTTTCCCACCGTTGTCTCACCCTTCTAAGCATACTCTGAGCTCTGAGCCCTCTGACATCTGCTCTGTCTCCCTCCACATTTTTTTTTTAATTGAAGTAGTGTTGATTTGGGCTTCCCTCGTGGCTCATCAGTAAAGAGTCTGCCTGCCAATGCAGGAGATGTGGGTTTATTCCCTGGGTTGGGAAGGTCCCTTGGAGAAGGAAATGGCTACCCACTCCAGTATTCTTACCTGGAAAATGCCATGGACAGAGGAGCCTGGTGGGCTACAGTCCGTGGGGTTGCAAAGAGTCGGACATGACTGAGCAACTAAACAATAATAACAACCACAACAAAGTGTTGACTGACAGTGTTGTGTCAGACTCTGCTATATAGCAAAGTGTTCGTCAGTTACACACATATAGACATTCTTTTTTAAAATATTCTTTTCTATTATCCCTCTACATTTTTTCAACATGTTAGTGATCACAATGTATTCTCCTTATCCTATTTTTGTGTCTGTTCTACATGAATCTTTCTCATAACACTCAGGAGCAAAAGCTCATTCTCAAAGCAATCAGCATGGGAGAGTTCCACCTCCCAGGCTGTGTCCCCCAACTCACAGTTCCCACCTACTTTGCTGGGCTCTCTCTGCTGGGGCTGACGGGGGAGTGGGCTCCTGGCTTGGTAATTAAGGCTGTTCTTTGCTGTAGTCCTGATTTCCCATTCAGCTGTGCTTTCTGAGCTTGCCTGTGATCTTTAGATTCTATCTTCAGAGATAGTCATCAGAGCAGAAAGTGCCTTCTAGTTTGAATAGGCACTGGTTTTTATGTTTTCTCAGCCTGTACTTGTGCATCCCGTGAGTTCTGTAGCTTTTGATTTCATGTATATGTATGTTTCAGCCAGGCGCCGAGGTCTGGGAGCTTTCATACAAATGTGTATTTCCACTTTGTAAGTTTTGTAACTTTTGGTATATAATGTTTTTCACCCCTTATCTGTCTTCTCAGTGAGATGATAGTGATGCCCTCAAGATGAAAGGCATCACTTTCCTGCTTTTCCTGGGGTGGGGGGTGGGGGAGCGGTGGAAGGAACACCAGAGATGGGGAGCTAGGCGTGTCAGTGAAGACTGGGAATTTTAAATGGTGGGAGGGTATTTTTGTGTCTGTGACCCAGCCACAGTGGGGAGCAGACAGGCTGAGGCTGTCGTTCTCTTCCCAGTGGCGTTCGTCCCCTTGCAGGCCTCGAAGCTCTCGCTGGGTGTGACTTGTGAGCAGTCCCCTGCTCCGTCTCAGAATTGGCCTCCTCTCTCCATCCTCTGCTGTTTCTTGTCCTTCCTCCTGTCATTCCCTCTCCCACATCCTCCTCTAGTCCACTGCACTCAGCAGTGTCGGGGCGTGAGCCCCTTTAAAGCTGTGTCCCAGCTCCCAGAGAGTAGGTGAACCCCTGACCAGGACTCTCCTGGAATGGGGACTCTTCTGGAACGGGGATCCAAGTCCTGGCTGTTCCCCTCTCTCCTGAGGTTTTCTTCCTGAAATCCCCCCTGTGGATGAGCTTGTAAAGAGGGCTGAGGTGCAAGACTGACACCCAGGCCAGAGCCCTCTCCCTAGGAACGCAGTGTCTGACCTGGGATGGGGGCTGTGTGTGTTTGCACTCAGGTAACCCAGGGATATCTGCTGGGGTCAGAGCACAGACGTTTATGAAAACTGCCGGCGAGTGATGAGGTAGGGGTTCTGTTTTGGTGACACGCAGTGATGGCATGCGGTGGGAGTCACTGACCGCCTCCTGGGCGCCGTCCCTCCTCTGGGAGAGACAGCGGATCACCTCAGCCTGTGGGGCATGGAGCAGGGCTGCCAGCCTAGGAGCACCCTCCCTGGAAGAAGTGTGCCAGCCACGAGTGCCAGCTCCAAGTTCAGATCCTGCTGGCCTCGAGCAAGTAATGGCTAGTTACCTTCCTCAGCAGCTGGTTGAGACCCACCTGCTCCTGGCAGTCTGTCCTGGCCCCGGGCACAGTGAGACCCAGAAGGCCCCGTCCCTCCTCTGCCGAAGGAGGTGGTCTCCAGTGCCATCTCCTCAGGAAGACAGTGGTTTGTGTCAGATGCTGGTGGGAATATCCCTTCAGAACATCTGTCCTGGGCTGTTGAGTGGTACTAGGAACAAGCAGTGATCAGATGGTTTTATTTGCCCTTAAGTAACTTGATTTTAACTTTGATTTTTCAGGAGAACTCTAAGTTGGAGAAAAGAGGAGGGCGATCATGCACCATGGCAGCGGCCCTCAGAATGTCCAGCACCAGCTGCAGAGGTCAAGGGCCTTCGCTGGCAGCGAAGGAGAAGAGCAGCAGGCCCATCCCAACCCCCCCCAGTCCCCCGCCACGCCCTTCGCCCCGGCAGCAAGCCCGTCTGCACCCCAGTCCCCCGGTTACCAAGTTTCACAGCTGATGAATCGGAGTCCTGTGGCCGGGCAGAATGTGAACATTGCCCTTCAGAATGTGGGGCCGGTGGTGGGCGGAAACCCCCAGATCACACTGGCCCCCCTGCCGCTGCCCAGCCCCACTTCTCCAGGATTCCAGTTCAGCGCACAGCAGAGGCGGTTTGAGCACGGGTCTCCGTCGTACATCCAGGTCACCTCGCCGCTGTCCCAGCAGGTGCAGACTCAGAGCCCCACCCAGCCCAGCCCTGGGCCAGGGCCGGGCCTGCAGAGCGTGCGGGCAGGTGCCCCTGGCCCCGGCCTGGGCCTCTGCAGCAGCAGTCCCACCGGGGGCTTCGTGGATGCCAGCGTGCTGGTGAGGCAGATCAGCCTGAGCCCGTCCAGTGGCGGCCACTTCGTGTTCCAGGAGGGCTCGGGCCTGGCGCAGATGGCCCCGGGTACCCAGGTTCAGCTGCAGCATGCAGGGGCGCCCATCACGGTCAGCAGAGAACGGAGACTTTCGCAGCCCCATGCGCAGTCTGGGGGCACCGTCCACCACCTGGGGCCTCAGAGCCCTGCGGCCGTGGGCGGGGCGGGCCTGCAGCCTTTGTCCAGCCCCGGCCACATCACCACGACGAGCCTGCCGCCCCAGATCAGCAGCATCATCCAGGGGCAGCTGATCCAGCAGCAGCAAGTGCTGCAGGGGCCACCACTGACCAGACCTCTGCTCCCCGGGGTTGGGGTCGGGGTTGGGGGGACTTCGGCGTTTGGGATGACGTCCCCACCGCCCCCCACCAGCCCTTCCAGGACCGCAGTGCCTCCGGGCCTCTCTAGCCTTCCCCTCTCGTCTGCGGGGAGCGCAGGCGTGAGGAAGGCTCCCAGAAAGTTGGAGGAGATCCCCCCGGCCTCCCAGGAGCTGGCTCAGATGAGGAAGCAGTGCCTGGACTATCACTACAGGGAGATGGAGGCGCTGAAGGAGGCCTTCAAGGAGTACTTGATTGAACTGTTCTTCCTGCAGCACCTTCAAGGAAACATGATGGATTTCTTAGCATTTAAGAAGAAACATTATGCCCCTTTACAAGCTTATCTTAGGCAGAATGATTTGGACCTTGAAGAAGAGGAGGAAGAGGAGGAGGAGGAAGAAGAAGAGAAGTCTGAGGTTATCAATGATGAGGTGAGAAGCAGCGGGTCGTGCTAGGTGGAGTTGAGTCTAGGCAACTTCAAATGAAAAGTAGTCTGTGACCCTGGGGTGTGTATAAGATGCAGTCTCATGAGGATTTGATCCAGGAGTAAAACTGAAGAATGGATTTGCTTTTTCCTTCATGGAAGGAAAGGGCTAGTCTAGTTGGGAAGACGGTGCAGCGTGGTGCTGTGAGTAATGCTGGCTCATGTAGAACAGTGACACCTCCCTGGTTTGGAGAACTAACTGGCGTGACCCAGCTTTACCCTGTGGTCTGCCGGGTGTCTGGGCATTGCCCGGCTCTGAAGAGCCTGCGGAAGCCAGGGGCGTGGTCACCTTCCTGCTGATTGCCCAGATTTCACATTTTACTTCTGTAGGTCCACACTGAAAACAGCATGGATATCATTTTTAAAGAAAGAATTTGAATCACCAGCTTGTTACGTATATCAGATGAAATTTAAATCACTAGATACATTTTTAAGGTATCTTTATAAAATATGGTTATTACAGCAAAACATAATTTTTTCAGCTTGTAGATGTCTTAGATTTAAGATCGTGTATTTAACTCACACTTTTGCAGATACCTACAGAATGATATTTAAGACAAGACTCCTTTTTACGTAGTGGAATTTTTGGGTGCCTGGAATAGGTACTTATAAATCCTCCCAGTTGGGATTTTTCAACCCCTTAGTGATTCTCAAGATGCTTTCACTTACACTTCCTAGAATGAAGCTGATCAGATAGGGTGACAGTGAGGTGCACTGTGATGCACTGTTCTGTGCCTTTGTGTTGTGTACTGTACACTATGTTGGTGGGACTGACTTTGTTTTTTGATATAGCTGAAATAATGTAAGTTTCTGTCAGCTCTTCTGCAAAGAAATCAGCTTTTGATGAACAAAAGCTGGCCTCTTTGCCCATCTCCTCATTGGTATTTATTATGTGTGGCTTTGCCATTTGGTGTTTTCTTTAACACCCTTTCCAGGATGAACCATTTTTTTTTCTAAAAGGTTTATATGATTTTTTTGAGGGTTTCCCCTCTGTTGCCGTGAAATAGTGAAGTTCAGTCCTTTTTATGTTTGTACACCAATGTTGTCTGTAGGCTCAGTCCCCTTTATCTGTCATTGCCATTCTGACCTGCACACAGTAGGCCGGGTGCAAACTGCCTCTGAAGTTGTCAGGGCTTTGCTACTTGAAGACTGTCTGCCATTCCCATTTTTAAAGTTTGAAGTTACAGAATCTAAGGATATTGTACTTGTGACTTAAATTGGAGTTTCTGCAAGATTTGCAGTTGAGTTAGGGTGTTATGTTATAAATCTGTCATAACTTAGTTCAGTGTCCTTTTACAGGATTTGATGCAAAAACATTCCATTTTTAAACACCAGACATTGGTGAGCTATCAGCAGTAAAATTCTAACAAAATTTTGAGCAGTCTTAAAAATTATGTTGCCTTTTTTTCTCAAAATATTTCCTCTCAGGTAAAGGTTGTGACAGGAAAGGATGGGCAGACTGGTACTCCTGTTGCTATAGCAACCCAGCTTCCTCCAAATGTTTCTGCTGCTTTTTCATCCCAGCAGCAACCATTTCAGGTACTTTTCGATGGTTCTAAAATGTAGTCTCATCCGAAACTTTTCCTCATCCAGATATTTTAACCTTCAATTTACTATTTGCTCTTCAGCATTTTTTTTCCAGAGCCCATTCCTTATTTTAAAAAAGTAAAAAAGTCTTCCTGCATATAAAATTATACAACTAAATTGCATGAATAAATGACAACACAGACCTTAATGCATTATTTTTGTGTGTGTATTGACCTGTAACGCAGTAGCAGCTTCAGCATGCATGTCATCTAATACCTATAGTCCTGTTGAATGTGTGCTCAGGATTCCTGTGTGCTGTGTTTTCAATGTTGGTTCTTTCTTGTGTCTTCTATCTGTATTTTTGAGAACAGTGCAAACAGAGCAGAAAGAAAGATTATATAGATAAGTTGCTGTTTTCTGTAGCTGGAAGAAACCCTAAAGTAAAACATAGTTTTGAACTATCAGGACCTTAGGCTTCTAAATAGATGTTAATTGAATGCAGACTGATTAATTTTTGAAAATTAAGTCACTCAGTGTTATATTAATAAATGCTAAGAACCTAAAAGTTCAGGTCAGATTCTAGTCATTTTGGAATAGATTATGCTAGGTTCTGCAAACAGTTTAATCTTGTGGTGGTATATCTTAAAATGCTTCTTAATTTTTAATTTTGATATAATTTCAAATTCATATAAAAGTTACAATAATAGTACAAAGAACTCCTCTTATACCCTGTACCCAAATTCACCGGTTGTTACCTTTTACCCTATTTGCATTATTTTCATTTTCTCTCTCTCATATGTACACATAGACACATTTCCCCCCAAACTGTTTGAGAGTAAATTGTGATCGTCATATTCGTGCACTTGTATCCCTAAGTACTCGAGCATGTAGTTATCAGGTACCAGCGTCATCTGGGCTAACCATAGTATAACAGTCAGTTCCAGAAATTGCACAGTAACTTTTACTATGACTAAGCCACAGCTCATGTGCAAATTTAATCTCTTGTTCCAGTGATGTCCTTTGTATAGTTGTTTTTCCCCAGTCTGGGATCACCGATTGTGTTTAGTTGTCATGCCTCTCTGGTCTTCTTTAATCTAGGCTGACTCCTCACTCACTGGTCAGTTATTTTAGAGAATGTCCTTTGACTTGGGCCACTAATCTACCACCTCTTGATGAGCTTTGCTCGCATTAGTTGTCATGTTAAAGATGGCAAAGTGGATTTTCTAACTCCGTTATTCCTTCTGCATTTACTAGTTGGCATTCTGCTGCAATGATGAGCTTCCTTTTTTCTCCCATTCATATATTCATATGTGGATTCTTATTTTTTTAGATTTATTTATGTATTTGGCTGGGCAGGGTCTTCATTGCTGTGTTTGGGCTTTCTCTAGTTGCAGTGAGTGGAGGCTGCTCTTCATTGCACTGCATGGACTTCTCATGTTGTGTGGCCTCTTGTCTTGTGGGGTGCGGGCTGTAGACACATGGGCTTCAGCAGGTGCAGTGCATGGGCTCAGTTGTGGTGCGCAGGCTTAGTTGCTCTGAGGCATGTGGGATCTTCTCAGACCAGGGATCGAACCCATGTCCCTTGCATTGGCAGGTGTATTCTTAACCCCTGTACCACCTTGGAAGTCTCTTATTTAAACTTACTTAGTTCAGTAAAATTCATTTTTTTTGGTGCATAGTTTGGTGAGTTTTGTCAAGTGCCTCAAGTTGTATAATCACCACCACACAAGAAACAAAGTTCTCTCATCCTTCAGGTGTTCCTCATGCTACATCCTTGTCATCAAATTCTCTCCCTCCCTTAACCTTTATTCTGTGTCTCTATGGTTTTTCCTTTTCCGGAATAAAATGTGAATAGAATCATATACTATAGTTTATGCTGCGTTTTCAGTCTGGCTTCTTTCATGTAGCATAATGCATTTGAAGTTCAATTCATGTTGTTGAATTTACCAGTTGTTTCTTTTTTTGCTGAGCAGTATTCTGTTGTATGAGTGGTCCCCACATGGTTTATCTGTTCACCCTTTGAAGGACGTTGGGTTGTTTCCAGTTGTTGGCATATCTAGGAGACAGATTGCTTGGTTGTTAATAAGTGTACATTCAGTTTTATATGAAACGGAGAAACTTTTCCACAGTGGCTCTTCCATTTCACATTCCCACTAGCCATGAATGAGAGTTCCTGTTGTTCCACATCCTCCCCACTATTTGTTCCGCACATCCCCATTATTTGTTCTTGTCAGTTTTCTTTTGTTGTTATTCTAATACGTAAGTAGTGGTTTTAACTTTTATATCTGAGGATTAATGATATGGAAAACAACATTTCTTGTGTTCATTTGCCTTTTGTATAACTTCTTTGGTGAAGTATCTGTTCATTTCTTTCACCATTTTTTCCCTTATTGAGTCATTTGCTTTATTGTTGCATTTGAGAATCCTTTATATAATTTGGATATAAGCTTTTTATCAGATACAAATTTGGAAATATTTTTCTCTTCATTCTCAGCCTTAGCTTCTTTTATATTGTTCTTTTATAGAGCAAAACTTTTGAGTTTTGGTGCAATCTCTTTTACCATTTTTTTCTTTTATGTATTGTGCTTTTGACATAAATCTAAGAACTCTTTGCTCAACTCAGGGTCACAAAAATTTCCTCTAGTTTTTTCCCCTAGAAGTTGTATAGTTTTATGTTTTACATTTAGGTCTGTGATCCATTTTGAGTAAAGTTTTTTTTTTTTTGGTTGTATTGAGTCTTTGTTGCTGTGCACAGACTTTCTCTAGTTGCGGCTACTCTAGTTGCCATGCGGACGCCTCTCTCCACAGTGGCTTTTCTTGTTGCAGAGCACAGGATCCAGCGTCTGTGGGCTCAGTAGTTATGGCACGTGGGCCTAGTTGCCCCCGCAGCCTGTGGGATCTTCCCGGACCAGGGATTAACCCATGTCCCCTGCATTGGGAGGCAGACTCTTAGTCCCTGGACTAGCAGGGAAGTCCTTGGGTAAAATTTTGTATAACATGCAAGCATAGCTAGAGGTTTTTTTCTTCGCATATTGATAGTTAAACACCATTTCTTAAAAATGCTATCTTGTATCTGCTGAGTTGACTTTGCATCTTTGCCCAAAATCCCTTCTGTTGGGTCTGTTTCTAGGCTCTCTTCTCTTCCATTGATCTGTATGTCTCTCTTGTTGCTAATGCCATACTGTCTTTACTACTGCAGCTTTGTAGTAAGTCCTGAAATCAGTTAGTATTATTCTCTTCAGCTTTATTCTTTTTCAAAATTGTTTTGGTCATTCTGGTTCCTTTCACTCTTCATAAACGTTTTAGAATCAGCTTGTTGGTATCTATAGAACATCCTGTTGCGATTGCATTGACTTGGTTGATCTGTTTGGGGTGAAGTACTCTCCTGACAACATTCAGTCTTCCAGACCAGAAATATGA